TCTTGTCCAATCCTCTACTCAGGCAGAAGACCCTATATCATTTCAGACAGGCAGCTGTCCAATCTTCTTTTAAAAATGTCCAGTGATGAAGCACCTTCTGAAGGCAAGCTGTTCCATTGGTTAATTGTCCTCACCGTTAGGAAGTTTCTCCTTAATTCCAGGTTGCTTCTCTCCTTGATTAGTTTCCATCCATTGTTTCTTGTCTTGCCTTCTGGTGCTTTGGAAGCTCAGTTGACCTTCTCTTCTTTGTTGCAGCCCCTCAAATACTGGAATGCTGCTATCATGTCATCCCTAGTCCCCCTTTTCTCTAGACTGGCCATATCCAATTCCTGCGACCGTTTAAAAATTAGATTGCACACTTCTCAGAGGGACGAACTACTGAATTATATGTTCCCAGTTGAGCACCAAGCAAATGTTTCATGCTCATCTTAACCAGATAGAGATTTAATATTGCCGAGATATGTTGTGCCTCTCTGATGAAGTGGAAGGATTTCATTGCTTGCTGATGATTTTTTTTTGTCCATTTGAAATTACATAGTTCTGTAGTGTCCATTGCATTTGGTAGAGCTATGAAAAGCAGACACTTAACAAATTCACTTGAACTATCATCTGGCCATTTAGCAGCCAGACTTGGACTCAAGGTTGCTTTGTAAAATTTTAGTCCAGCTAATCTGTGAATGAATGTAGACCTAGTCTTGGAAATGGAGAAGAAATAACCTCTTTAGGAAGGACGGTCTGTAATGACTTTGCAATCTGGTGAGACAGGAAAATGTGAGGAAGAAAAAACCACTTGCATTATTTAAAATGAAGAGAGAAATTCTAATGGACTTTCAAGTGTAATGTCAGTCCTTCAAAGTGGGCAAGGTCAAGAAACAGATGCAGCCAAGATTCCAAAAATGCTCTTCATGGTTGCATAGTAGAATAAAATATTATTAACTTATCTACCTGATAACTGATCGTATCAATTGCCATAAGACACATACACTAGCATACAACTGTTAGTAGTGAATGTCAGTATGTAATATCTGCTGAGTGTGTAATCTTGTTTGGCAACTATATAATTTTTGCTGACATCCACTAATAGGTGGCTGATACACTTGCGGTTGAAATTCTGAAAGGAGGTAAACATTTTATCTGCTTTTCATTTCCTTCCAGTTATATGTTTGATCTTTTCTGCCCGTTGCTTCTGCCACTGCACTCTCAGAATGAATCTTCCTTGAACAAACAAATTTGCATTTTTTTCCATCTCCACTCCATCTTCTCTACTTAGAAAAACAGGGTTTGGCAGCACTTGGTAAACATTTCAGTTAGTGATAAATTATATTTGGAGAATCCTTAGCCATTTAGGTATTACTACCTTACAAAGTTCTGGAGGTATTATTAAATGCATGGTAATTTTGGAGAACATGAGATTTAAGCTTGTATCTTGCTCTTCATTCTGGAAGGTTTGGGCCCTTTCTTTTCTGGGGCCTTAAAGCTGATCTGAAATTTCATTTGAATCATACTTCCTTGTTTGTGCATTGCTCTGAAGTGGTTTGACATGAATTGTGAAAACTGAAAGGGTAATATTTTTTAGATACAAGTCAGAGGTTCATCTGTTTTTCACCTGTTAAACTTTAAAATATCCCCCTTTTTTCCTTGGTCCCTTCATGGGGTTTCCACAATCTGTGCTGCTCTTTTTCTTGGCCAAGTTTAATACATTCCATACCACCACCTTTTTATTCTACAGTATTTTGCTAAGAGATTGAGCCCTTCTCTCCTCTCCCTTTAAAAAAAAGTCCTTTCTTTACAAGTCCGTAATCTCAATTCGAGGTAGAGTCGGAGTTCTTGGATGGAGATCAGCATTTACTGGCCTGATGCCCTTCGTGACACCATGCGGAGTTCACAGCAAATATGCTCTGGCAGCATATATAACAAAATTTAGACAAACAAACCTTTTCTTTTTTTAAAATGGAAATATTGTAAAAAAAATAAATTTTTAGCTTTAAATATTTACAGATAAAAATACTTGTATTTTGGCCTGATAATATCATACAGAATTTTTCAAATCGTAGATTGAACTATTTATTTATTAACTATATTTATTTATCAAATTTATGTAGCTGTCTATCTCATGAGAAGTGACTCTGAACAAGGTACAATACTCAATAGAAAAACCTATATAAATATCTGAACAACCACAAGGTTTCCAATTATTAGAAATACATCCGCTAAAAAAAGAAATTCCCATTACATAAAATACATAATTGCTGAGCTGCATTGTGAAGTTGGATATAGAGATAATAAAGCTTAAATAGTAACACATATTGAACCATAAAGATTATGTTCTCTGTTACAGCATCTGCCTCTGGAATAGCACTAGAAATCTATGTGGCTCCAGTCTTGGTGGCATAAGTCTCTCAGATTCAGGAGTAGAGACATTACTGAGCCAATGACAATATTTTGTGAATTTGTATCCAGACGTGTATCTTCTTCCTATTTTGTTTTGTTATTCTATTTTTTTTTCTATCTCTAGTGTCGGATAAAAATGTTTCTTTTCTTTTTTTTTTTTTTCAACTAGCAAAAGAGAAATTTGGTGGGAATAGTCTTCCGGACTTGTGGGATCCAAAACCTTCTCTCAGGGAGTGTTAATTCAACTCAGAGATGCTTCCTGTTCATAAGGGGATGTGTCATCTCTTCATTGCCAATTCACTTGTTAATAATACTTTATGAAACTTGTCTGCCTCCTAACTCTCAATGATTCTGGCTAACTCATATGAATCAAATGAAGAAATTACAATAAAACCAATGAAAGTTTTTTTAAAAAGACAATAAAAGCAATGGCTGGTTATGACTCACACAGAGAAAGAAAGTAAAAGTCTATTTATTCGATAAATAATTCATTTCAGGGTAGCCAATGATTTTCAATTGGGCAGGATTATCAAAATCTGATGTTACTTGATTTCAACGATCATTTTTTATTAGTCTGCCTTAGTATAACATTAAATGTTACAATTTCTTATTGAGATTTTCATGTTTGTTGCTCATTCATTTTTTAAAAACATTACATTATAAGATCTATCAGTGTTAATGTCAATTCTCCAGGAAACAACACAGTTTAGGAATCATGTTCCTGCTACATGTTTAAATAAATCATCATATCAACATCAGAAGCAAGCTGTTGAAGGATGTTTGAATTATGGTTTGCACTCCTAAAGGATCATTTCCAAAATACAGTGGTGCCTTGGTTCTCAATTGTTTTGAAATTTATAAAATTGGGTACTCAATGCATTTTGATGAGAAAATTTTGTCCTGGTACTCAATGCTTGTTTGGTACTCAATGCACAAGCTAGAACTTGTCACTGTTGGTTGCCTCATGACTTGCAACCCTTTCCAGTTGAAACAAAGAATGATGCATTAGTCACATGGTAACTCGCCTTGTGCACATCCCCTTGCAGTCTTGTCTCAGTCTTATCTGTGTTCATTTTGTGTATTTTTGCACTTTTTTTCTCATCAGTACAAGTAAAGTATGCAATGAAATTTCATTTTAATGTATGCCGATTAGTGTACATTCAAAGTTATTCTAAGTCTACGTGAAGTTTTTATTTAATTTAATTTAAGTATACAGTAATTTTTAGGTTTATTTTTCATATAATGATGTACAATCCTATCCTCTTACATATTGCCTTAAAATGTGCATTGTCTTTGGTTTGGGGATGCATCAAATTTATTTATATTATTCCTTCTGGGAAAATCTGTCTGATACTAATCTTTTTTGATACTGATTGTCCCTCTCAGAACCAATTAATAATGGGTACTGAGGTAGCACTGTATTCATCTCAAATTTGTCAGTAGCAAATACTACTGGGATTACAGGAAATACAGATGAAACAAATAAATAGATGGATTGAATTTGGCTGAAGATCCTAAGTCAATCACTGAAAGATAATTCATTATAAGTTGGCTCATAGCACTAGATTCTCCTCAAAAATTGTATCTGGCTTAGATTTGCCAACTTTCTTCTGTAGCCTTTAGTACAATGGTGAGGTACAACTGAATTAAGGTTTGGTCTAATTAATGGTTCCTTTAAGGAACTTATGCAGGAATTTACTTCCAGAATGTTAATAAAATAAATAACTATTATTATGAATTCAATTATTATTAATAATAATATTATAAATTTATAATAGTTGCCTATGATTGAATCAACCTAGATATTGACCTTATAATTGTTCCAGTTGTTAATAGATATGACTACATAGTAAGAGACTATGTTTTTGTAAACACAAACAAAATAGAGTGCTTCATGTACCTATGGTCAGCTTGTATGGCATCTTTCAGAAATAGAAAAAGAACCAAAATGTCTTTTTTAAAAATTCTATAAGGTTTAAAAACCCATAACAATTTATAAGTGAAAAATAATAAATAATCCATTGTTTATTTACCTTTTCTATTAATTTTTTAAAAACATCTCTTAGGCCTAAATGTCAAACAGGTCAACGGATAGTAGTATATAGATCAGGGATGTCAAACTCACAGGCTGCAGGTCGAATGCATCATGTATTGGCCCCGCCCCCATCCGGTTTAGCGAAGGGGAAAAAAGACTGGATGAGTCACATGACACCACCATGATGACATGAGTTTTGACACCCCTGATATAGATTATGACTATGTGAAGCTTTGGTTTGAAAATGTGATTCAAGGGTGAATAAATTAATTCTCCAAATTAAAACAGTTTTTCAAGCCAGGTCAGCAATTTTGACTGAAACACTAAATGCAATGAGATGCCTCCAATCAATTTGGAAAATGGAATTAGCTTGTTTTCCCAACTTGAATTCAATCAAATTAGGTCAATAATCCAAATTGAACTGAGTTTGATTTGGATCAGAATTGATGTGCACTTTTAACAGATAACAACCATAACAACAACAAAAAAGCAAGGGCGAGGTAAAACTTTGAATCCATTTCCTGACCAATTATTATATAAATATCTTATTTTGCTTGTGTGTTTTTTTTAACAGCTGATGAAGGTGGTAAATGAGATGTGTCCAAATATCACAAGAATTTACAATATTGGAAAAAGTCATCAAGGGCTAAAGCTGTATGCTGTTGAAATATCCGACAATCCTGGAGAACACGAAGTTGGTTAGGATTACATTTTTACAAAAATAAATGTGACGGCTTTGGGGATGATGATTTTGGAATGTTTAAAATTTTAAGATTTATGTACGTATAGTTCTTGTGGTTGATGTCTGTTCATTTAGAATACCCAAATCCAACCTGGTGCCCTTTAGATTTTGTAGTTCCTACAGTTCCTAGAATATAAATCTCATAAATAAATAAACAAACCAGTAAATTAATATCAGCCACAATGATTACACTGAATACTAATAGGGTATATAACGCTTTTAGAAAAGAAAACAAATACCTCTTCAGGCCTCTACTAAAAGCAACTATTATAATATAAACATTGCTTTATTAGATATTCCAAAATGCTTCCTACAGCTTAAAAAATACCCTACATCAGCTGAATCATATGACTGATGTCTAAAAATATGCTCTTTTTTAGTTCTTCAGATTGAGTTGAATAAGACCTCCTGAGTTAATCCAGGCCTCTTTGGAGAGATTCTGTACTTCCAAGAGGTGAAATAAGAGAAGCCTGCTAAAATGACTGGAATTAAATCATTCTGAGCAATTTGCTCCTCTTTCCCCAAGTCCCCAAATAATGTTTTGATTTTGTTTCTTCAAGAAGGAAAGGAGAGATGGAGAATGAAGAGGAATGGAATTGAGCTGACTTAATTAAATTGAATGACTAACAAATATATCTTCTAAATGCAGGAAATAGTTCATAAGTCACGTTTCAGATGCAGCGGTTTGGGGTTACTAGTTAGTTACATTTATTACTGAGATGTTTTATGAAACCGCTCATAAAGACCTTTACCTGAATACATATACACACAGACTCTCTGTCTCTGTCTGTCTGTCTGTCTGTCTGTCTCACACATACACACATTTATTGCAGAATTATATTGAAAAACAAACAGGACTATCAGGTTTTTATAATATTATTAAATGTTGGTATCAATTTTATTAAAACTAATCATAGACAATACCAGGATTCATTCTGTCTTTTTCCTTTACTGTGTTTTAGAGCATGACAAGAACATTATTTTTGTTTTCTGCTAGGAGTTATCTTTAAAAAATCAGCAGGATAAATTTTTGCAACAATAGATTATAGATTTAGGGTGATTATAGATTTAGGGTGGGTCTCCCCCACTCCCAGTTCCACAGAGTATATGGATATTGGTTGGAGATTAAAAGACAAAAATGATCTCTTAAGATGAGAAAAAAATGCTTCAACTCTTGAACATAAAAAACAGTTTCTTTTAACTCCTTTAAATCCCTTAATGTAAACAAAAGTCTTGTCACTAAAAAAATGGAAAGGTTAGTGCAGCCAGAACACATGACTGTTCACCCCGATGTAGAAAATATGGAAAAAAGACACCTGACTACAGCCGGGAACCCAGTTGTCAGTCAAACAAGGGTTGATAAGTAGCCGCATTGCCTTAATCAAAAGAGATATTATTCTGTTGCCTGAAGAATAACTCTGTATAGTTTTTCTCAGAAAAACATTGGCAATGAAAAGAAAATTCCCTTGAAATCCCTTGTTCGAAAATGAAGGCTATGTGGAAAATATAAAAAAAAATAGTTGTTTGGACTATTTCATTTCAAAATATATAGAATGAAGATGAAAATCATATAAAGTGGTTTCCTTTATCTCTCTTTTTCCTTGTTATAAGTTGTGCAGGACCGACAGCAGCATAGGACTCATATTACAGCTTCCTTCTAGTTACATGTCCTTCAATATGTTTTTATGAGTAATATCTCAACATATGACATCATATTTCTCCAAAGATATTCAAGTTGCTGGTTGACAGAGGCAAAAATGTTACTCCACAGAATCTGCAGATGCTACTTCCTTAAAAGGACCCTGATGTCATATCATTCTAAGACATTTTGGAACATTCCACTGGAAAGAAATGTTGAAAGAGCCGTCTGTCACCCTGAGTAGCATGGAATGTCTTAAAATATTTTGAGAGTTAGAAGCAAAATAAAACCCCTTGGGTACCCTCTAAGTTCAGGGGTGTCAAACTCAATTTCATTGAGGGCTGCATCAGGGTTGTGTTTGGGAGGCATGGCAAGGGTGGGCATGGCCAGTTTGACATCATTCATGTTGGTGGGGTCACCTGTGGTGGCCCAAGCACTCTGCCAGCAAAAATGGAGCTCTGTTTTCTCTGGCAGAGGCATCACGGGCCAGTCCTTCGCTGTTTTCGGGGCAGCTCCACAGGCTAGACCTAAGCATCCCATGGCTGGATCTGGCCTGCAGGCCTTAAGTTTGACACCCCACTCTAAGTGTTTATAGTCATCAAGCTCCTGCATAAATTAGAAATCCAACCTTCACTTTCAGTGTAAGAATAAGTTGCAAAAACAGACCAAAGAAAGACTTATTGCCAACTTTTTTTTTTAATTTTGAATAGGTGAACCTGAATTTCGGTACATGGCAGGGGCTCATGGGAATGAGGTGCTTGGGCGTGAGCTACTACTTTTGTTAATGCAATTTATGTGCCAAGAATATCTTGCTGGGAATCTACGCATTAAGCATCTCATCGAGAGTACCAGAATTCATCTTCTTCCTTCAATCAATCCAGATGGATATGAGAAAGCCTATGAAGGGGTAATGTGGTAAACCATCAATACAAATGCTGTTTTCAAATGTAATAAAATAGAGCTCAACTTCTAGTGGCTACATGAAAAAGCATGTGTACTGGTAGTCCTCAATTTATGACCATAATTAAGCCCAAAAGGTATGTTGCTAAGTGAGACATTTTTTACATGAGTTTTGCCCCAGACTTTTCTTGCCACATTTGTTAAATGAATCACTGCAGTTCTTAAATTGGTAACCAGGTTAAGTGAATCTGGTTTCACCATTGCCTTTGCTTGTCATAAGGTCATAAAAGGGGATCACACAGCCCCAGGACATTGCAGCCATCATAAACATGAATCAGTTGCCAAGCATCTGAATTTTGATCACGTGATCATTGGAATGCTGCAACAATCATGTGTCAAAAAGGTCATAAGTCACTTTTTTCATTGCTATTATAACTTTGAACGGTCAATAAATAAACTGTTGTAAGTCAAGGATTGACTTCCCAATCTAGTTCACAGGACAATATTTTCTGGTAATATTAATACATATTTTCTTCAAGATCTGCTAGGTGCCTGAGCACAGCTCACTTTATGGTAAAGGGGTATTTCTTTTTTCTTTTTAATTGAAAAATGTAGATGGTAAGATGTCACTGCAGTTTTCATGCGCTTCCACCTTAAAATAGTCTGACATTTTCCTGTCCGTGTTTTAGAAACCACAACAAATTAGAGCCTCATCTTTTTCCTGAGGCTTGCTTTAATTTGGATATAACCCAAAATGAGATGCTTTTTTCTAAAGTTTACTTCATTCCCTTAAAGTAATCACTATGGGCATTACTGTATCTGCTGCCAAATGTTGATTTCAAATTGCCAGCCTAGTATTTTGAAATAACATATATATTCCAAGCTTCTAATGTCAAAATAGGAATAGTTTGAACCTTTAAGAGATTTTTGTGGCAGATCTTTTGGGAAGTGATTTGATTAGTCTTTCGTTTCTTCCAGTAATTCACTTAAGTTGACATCTTGGTTCTTTAGTCAACATTTCTTTAGTGGCAAAAATGCCTAAGCAGCATATTGTACAATTAAAGGAAAAAGGTAATGTCAGAAGAAGCAATGAGACAACCTCTTTGTAAAAAGAGGTTTTTGTAAAAAAGGTTCTTAGACAACCTCTTTGTAAAAAGCAATGCTTTTTTAAAAAACCAGATATGCTGTTTGTTTGTTTTTTCTAAAGACAATATTTTATAGGAATATTATTGTGGTCCTGATTTTGTTCTAATCCACAAGTTCTCAATCATAATATTTATTACCAATAGCATTTAGCATTTAAGTTTATATCCTGCCCCATAGTGCTTTACAGTACTCTCTGGGTTGTTTACAATAATTATTTGCACATTGCTCCCAACAATCTAGGTTCTCATTTTACAAACCTTGGAAGGATGGAAGTCAACAGCTGAGTCAACTGTGAGCGCCCATCAGGATCAAACTCCAGGCTGCAGGCAGAGTTGCCTGCAGTACTGCACTTTAATCCTTATGCTACCAGATTATAATATTGAGTACTAGGTAGAAATGTGTTTATAAACATAATAAAGCATGTGTAAAATGTTTTCCTCCCACACTACCCTAGTCCTGTGGAAATCTGAAGAAATGGAACCTGTGTGACAGTTGTGGGGAGGATAAAAAGAGCCTATCTTATAAATGGCAACTTAGTCCAGGTGGCATCTCAAATGCTTCAAGAGAGTATGCCTTAATAATTCAGTATAGATGAGAAATTTATTATAGGAATTTCCAAGATACTGTATTTACTCCAGAATAGCATTAAATGTATTTTACTGAAATCTATATAATTTTTGCTTCCTTGATCTTATGTAGCTATGCTGGGCTTTACCAACTATTACACTGAAGAAAGTATGTATAGAATTGTCTTGCATTTGAAAAGAAGAGGATAGAATCCATTAAACTAGAGTAGGGAAACTTTGGATCTTCAAGTATGGATAACCCACATCTCCCTGAACTCCAGCTAAGAGAACCTAGTTGTGAGGGATACTACAAGCTAAATCCATAACATCTGGAGAGCCACAGCTTCCCCATACTATGTGTATGTGCACATTATGTGTGAAATCTTCTTCAGGCTAACCTGATTTTTTTTGTGAACATGCTTTGTAATTTCTTGGCAATGATACAAAAGGAGCTTTCCCCTTGCCTTCTTTCAGAACATCATTCAACTTCCTAATGTAGCCTATGGCCTTGGAATGTCCCATGGGTCTCCCATCTAAATTCAAGCCATGTTCAACCCTGCTTAGTATTTAAGATTGGTCAAGGTTAGCTAGAAGCTGTCACTATTACTTGCTCCATTTGTATTAAGTTATTAGTATTTGTAACTAAAATAATGTTGACAAAATCCTAACATCACATTTCTGGGAATCAATTATGCCAAAATTCAGTTGTGGCTGCCTCCAGATACAATTACTATTCAGTGCTGGGTTTTTTATTTACAAAGTGGCATTTTATGTTTTGACAGAATTCACATTCTTTGCTGCAGCTTTAATGATATACAGACCAGGACATTTGTAATAGCAGGGAAAAGAAAAGAAGGGATCATCATATTCAAAAGTATACTGAGAAAGAAGTCCAACAAAATGTCAAAGTTTTGGGGATAAGGGAATAAATGTGAATTAAATGAGTCATCCTTGCATCCTACTGAACTGTGGATTTAAGTTAGACATGCTGTCCAATTGTTCAAATTATAATGTGGAGAAAAACAAAGAATGGGGTACAAAAGAATGTGGTATTTTAGTCAATCCATTTTCAAAACCAAAATGACTTATTTTGCACAAAGGAGATTAGTTTTATCACTATAAGAAAAGTAGGCGGAGTTGTCATTATATTCCCGCAATAAATTGCAGTTATAAAATAAGCCAAATGATCTGAACATTGCATTATTATTATAGGGTTCTGAATTAGGAGGCTGGTCTTTGGGACGATGGACTCAGGAAGGTATTGATATCAACAATAACTTCCCAGATTTAAATACACTTCTCTGGGAATATGAAGATCGGAGAAGACTTCTGAGAAAGGTCCCAAATCATCAAATTCCGATTCCAGAATGGTATCTGTCTGAAAATGCTACAGTAAGTAGAAATTTTTACAAAGAAAAATGTCAAGTGATTTGGAGTAGTTGAAAATTATCTCAGTTCTGTTCACTACAAAATAGCACAGCACATTCCGATATGTATAATTTATAATTTTATAATTTAATATTATTCAAGTAAGGCTACTGACCTTTCTATAATCTACTTCTAATGTTGTAATCTAAAATATAGATTTCAAGTACTTTATAATGTATAATTTAGCATGCTCTGGGTTGTTGTTGTTTTTACCCATATCATTCTGATAGCTTTGGGCTAAAAATTTTCCAATGGGAGATGAACCAGAAGTTTCCAGAATGATTTTTTTTTAAAAGTCAAATGGTGGCTGTCTATGGAGATTCAGGCATCGAGATCATGGTTGTCCCAAAGGTGCTCTTTCAAGAGGCAATTGGACTTTCTGGTTTTTCTTTAGAGACATTTTGTTTGTCATCCAAGAAGCTTCTTCACCTCTGACTGGATGGTGGGGAACTGATGTATGGCAGTGAAATTCTCTACCATCCAGTCAGAGCTGAAGAAACCTCTTGGATGAGAAGCTGAAGAAGTTTCTTGGATGAGAAGCGATATTCAAAGAAAAACCAGAAAGTCCAATTGCCTCTTGAAAAAGCACCTTCGGGTCAAATGGAAGCTGCAACAGAATTGGAAGCCGTATACCCTCTGTTACATGCTGCGTCTTGACTTTTCTGACTATACCAAACACTCCTGAAGAATTTATCAAAAATATAATCTTCAATAATGCTAATGGAAATGCTACACTGACTTGTGTAAATTGTTATTAATGGAAGATTTTTATTTATTTAATTTATTTATTTTGTCAAAAGCTTACAATACAATAGAAATAGGAACTAATAATTGGAGACAATAGGACAGGGATTGTATGCTTATGCAAGCCCCTTACAGACCTCTTAGGAATGAGGTGAGGTCAATAGAGGTTAGTTTGAAGGTAAAGGAGTGGGGGTTTGAGCAGGTGACAACAGAATAAGGTAGTGCATTCCAGGCATGGACCACTCTGTTGCTGAAATCGTACTTCGTCCAATCAAGTTTGGAATGGTTTACATTTAGTTTATATCTGTTGTGTGCTCTTGTGTTGTTGTGGTCAAAACTGAAATATTAATTAACTGGTAAGATGTTGTAATATATGATTTATGTACTATGCTTAAGCCCAATCTTAGCTGGCTTAGTTCAAGGTTGTCTAAGCCTAGAATCTCAAGTCTGGTGGTGTAGGGTATTCTGTTGCGAACAGAGGAATGTAGTACTCTTCTGGGAACATACTTTTGGACTCGCTCAGTTGTATTTATGTCTGATATACAGTGCGGTTTCCAGACAGCAGAGCTGAATTCAAGTATTGGTCTAGCAAAGGTTTTGAATGCCCTAGTTTGCAAATCAGTATTACCAGAGGAGAAGGTTCGTAAAATTAATTTTACAACTCTTAAGGCCTTTTTGGCAATACTGTTGCAGTGGGCTTTGGCGCTTAGGTCATTTGATATGAGAAGATGTAACATAGTTACATTGTTTGTCCTTATCCAAACATTGTTTCTTGCAACTATTACCTCCTAAAAGAGGATTTTTTAAACAGCTTATATTATTGTTAATAAAGAATCAGTGTGGTTCAGTTTTAGTGGAAGCCTTAAAATGAACATAGCCAGTTCTAACAGATTTGGGGCAAGGCTCCTTCCAAATCTGACCTTCACTAAACTCCTTTAGTGACTCCTTATTTTTCTCCATCAGCAAATTGTACACATTTATTTCCAAAGTGATTTGGAAATCAGACATTTTACAACCTGTTTCTGATTTTGATCATACTGGAACATTTATGGTCATTTTAGCAAAGATTGCTAAAACTTCCTTTTATATTTCTTTTATCATTACTTCAGTTCCCTTTGATATTTTTCTTGGATTTGTTGACTGTTCCAGATTCCAAAATTAAAACACCGTGAAGAAGCAAAGACACAGAATTGCCTTTGGATTATAAACTTGCAATTGTGTCCATGTATTCAGAAACTCTCTTGAAAAGCTAGCTTAGAATTCTGTACATTTCATCTTTCCTAGGTAGCTGTGGAAACACGAGCTGTGATAGCCTGGATGGAAAAGAATCCTTTTGTGCTTGGAGGGAATTTACAAGGAGGAGAACTTGTAGTTGCCTATCCCTATGATATGGTCCGGTCAGTCTGGAAGACACAGGAGCACACACCAACTCCAGATGACCATGTCTTTCGATGGCTGGCCTATTCGTATGCCTCTACTCACCGACTAATGACCGATGCTCGGCGAAGAGTATGCCATACAGAGGATTTCCAGAAAGAAGATGGAACAGTAAACGGAGCTTCCTGGCATACTGTGGCAGGAAGTAAGTGGTAGTTCAAAAATAAAAATTTAACAACTTGTCAAACACATGTCAAATATATAAATAGGTCAGGAGCCATGGTGGCACAGTGGTCAGAATGCAGTATTGCAGACTAACTGTGCCCACTGCCAGGAATTCAGTCCTGACTAACTCAAGGTTGGCTCAACCTTCCGACCTTCTGAAGTCAGTAAAATGAGAACTCAGATTGTTGGTGGAAATATGCTGACTATGTAAACCACTTAGAGGTGGCTGTAATGCACTATGAAGTGGTATATGCAGTATTTTTCGGTCTTTAGGACACTCCAAAACATAAGACGCACATTAGCTTTAGAGGAGGAAAACAAGAAAGAATATTTTTGCCTCTGCCTCCCAGCATCCATCTGACTAGTGTCCTTGCAGCAAACAGCACATTATCACAGCCCCAGTACATGGCTCGTCAGGGCTCCCCTCCATTGCACCCACCACTGGTCAGCTGAGCAACAGCTGGATTCTGCATTCCCTGCCAGTAGCAAACAGCAATGTTGACAGGTGGTGGTGGTGACAGGCGGCAGTTGAGGACACCGCTGCCACACCAACCCCTTCCCCCTGCCACAATATTTGCTCCATAAGACACACAAATATTTCCACCCACTTTTGGTGGGGGGAGTATGTCCTATAGACCAAAAAATATGGTAAGTCTAAGTGCTATTGCTATTTGTTCTTGTTTTTTTATCCTAACTGTACATTAAATGGCAGTCATCCACTAAACAGCAGGAAAGCAAAACTTTGTAATTATGTCCCAGTATAAGTCAGGTTTTGAGTTTTGAAAGATGTTCCTGGGCTAAGGCAGAAGTTACTGATTTTCCTTTGGCTTTTCACATGAATATTTTTATGGAATAGAGGGTTTAAATGATGTCTGGTTTACATAAATAGAATAGAGGCTATGCAACACAGTTCAAACAATTTTTTAATATGCATCTAAAGGAAGGAAAATGAGATACCGTATTTGCCGGC